ACCAGGGTAATTTCTGTGTGGAGTTTGTATGTTCTCCCCGTGTCTGCGTGGGTTTCCTCCGGGTACTCCGGTTTCCTCCCACAGTCCAAAAACATGCAGTCAGGCCGATTGGACGTGCTAAAATTGCCCCTAGGTGTGACTGTGTATGTCTGTCTGTCTGCCCTGCGATGGACTGGCGACCTGTCCAGGGTGTATCCTGCCTTCCGCCCAATGACAACTGGGATGGGCTCCAGCACCCCACCGCGACCCAGAAGGATAAGCGGTTTAGATGATGTATGTATGTATGTATACAGGGACTTCAATGCAAACTAAGCTTTTGTTAGATTATAGAAGTAGCATAATAAAACTTTTATTGGTATAATAAAACTTTGGGCCTGCTGGTGGGCCCATGGCTTGGTAAGGGGTTAAACTGCATCGACTTTATTTAAGTGGAAATGATGCACACATTCGAATCAAGTAACACTTCAGCGTGTGCAGTGGTTTAGTAAATCACGCCGTGGGCTTTGATTTGCCTGCACCTTTACAGGCGTTCCAACTCTAGCACTTTACTGCTGCACAAACATTAAAGATCCCTGACTTTATCCCCAGACCTCCATCAACTGCTGAGCAAAAGCACCAGGAACGTGCTGACTGTGCCGCACTCACCATTTATTTCAATGCGACTAAAACGAGTGCAATCAGTTGAATAACTGAGCACATCAAAAAAAAAAACAAGGTAATTAATCAACTTCGGGATTAATGCTGTTTAGCTCTACAGTACCGTTAAGAGAAGAGCGAGAGGATGCATGCAAATGCAGCTGTAATTAATAAGTTAAGCACAACAAATGCGGCGAGACATTTCTTGTGGGGATTGCGCGTTTTAAGGTGGATAAAAGGATGCTTTGGCAGCAACCGGCTTCATTAAGGACGACAATTAAACGCGGGTCAGGGAAAAAGTTGAAGAGGTCGGAGCCTCAGAAGACAAGCAAGTGAGCAGAAGCCAGTGCTGTAAAACTTCTGGTGGTTGTTGCGTTTGAAAGGCATAAAAGAAAACATACTTGGCTTCTAATAACGAACATAATGACGTGACGTGAGGAGTTGCTGTTGTGCATAATCTTTCCGTTTTGATCTCCCTAAGAAACCAGCTTCAGACGCTCACATGGAAAACGCACCGGAGCATCTGCCAGACACGTTTAGCATGGGTGGGTGAAGACGAAGGAGGAGCCAGAGCCAGCACGATTGGCTGCTCATTCATTTATTGTTTGTTTTCCTCTCGCGCGAGCCTGGCTCAGTGTCTCTACAACTCTGTGTCAGACTTGAGGGCCAGACAAGAAGCTGTCATGAGGGACTTTTGTCAAGCTGTCTGCTCTGTAATCTACATGCTAATCCCATTAGAGTGCTGAATTGCATTTGAACACGTTTAACTGCGGCCTGCCGGATAAGGAAATTGCCTCTGGCGCGTCAAGGGGATGGAACAACCTGTCACTCTGTACACATCCTTAACTGCGCCTGAACACTATTAGACCTGCATGTTTAGTAGATTTTAGGACATCATATGGGAGTTTTGTTTTGTTTGCCACCTGCGGGAGCTGACGCATAAGGAGCCCTGATCTCACGCTTTACTAAGTCGTGGCCATGACTTAATCATCTCATTCCCATGCCTTACTAAGTCGTGGCCACGCATTATTTTCATTTATATGGATGTCACCAGCGGGGCTTCGTAGATGCAAGTTTAGTTATACACAACATTTTACCTCACTATAGTGTAGTGGTCTGCATTACACTTGTACAACAGGTACAACCACATCCTCTTCTACCAAGCAAAGAGTTTTTTGTCAGTAGCCGATAAAGGCAAATGCAAAATGCAGCTACAATAGTAAAGAAGAGTTTGCAAACCCCGGTCAAATGACGTTTTCTTGATTTTCTCTGTGAAGATAACATCCTTTACAGAGAATAAAGTTAAATATTGCACTTTTTCACAGCCACATTTTGTTTTATTGTTTTACCAGTATGTTAAATTCAGCAAATAAACAGTAATTGTGCATCAAAATGTGCACAAATGTAGAGGACGTGTTAACCTTTCACTCAGTAAATCAACAAAATGTATCAAATTTGACTGGGTTGCCCAAACTTTTGCATACAAATATGTATTTCTGGCGTTTGATCTACTCTTCTCAGTTATTAACATGATTTCTCAATGTTGCTCTTGTATTTATTTGATATGTAAAGATCTGAATGTTTTGAATGTGTGCACATTCTTGCAGTGCATCCAACAACAGAGGCAGCATAGAGCTTCTTTAATACAGAGATAGGAAATATGCTAGCACACAGCACGCTCCAATTCCACCCGCTGATCCATTTTACTGTCCAACGTGGACATGCACACTCATACTCTGGGGGCATTTAATGAGTTAAAGAGGACTGTGTCTCTGAATGCATCACAGACAATATGTTAGGTTTGTTTTTAATAGCCTATGATCTCTAAGTTTGATCTAATATCATATTTTGCATATTTGTACTAGTCAGAGGTGCATTCAGACACAGCTGTTATAAGACTACATTGCTAATGTTTATAAGCCTACAATGTTAAAGGGGCATTCTGGCCAAAATAAGAAATTCAGCCATTGCTACATCTGTTGTAAACATGCCTACTTGCTATTGCCTGTGGGGGATTCTTAGTGTTTGAATGCATTTGCATAATGCATGCTGGGTATTGTAGTGAACAAAGCCATGTGTTAGCCAAGTTAGCCTAATTAAGTAACTAGACTAATTTCTTGACCTTTTAGCTGATGCTAAAGCATTAGCCTCACAGCTCTCAAGGACACCGTATGTAAAGAGATGTGTTAGTGTGTCATGGTGAATCCTACCGAGCCCCTAAAAGGACAGGGTGTATATTTCTAAGTTAGCAGTGAGCAACAGATACCATGTAGTAAGCACCAGATACTATTGAGTGCACACCTTATAGTATATTGTGCTCACCACAGTATCAGCATTAGGTGCATACCTGATATTGTGGTGAGCACAAGATACTATCTGGTGTGCACCTGTAAGTATCCTGTGCTAACAACAGTATCAGGTGTGCACCTAATAGTATCGGGTGCTCACTACATAGTATTTGGTGCTCACTATATAGAGCACCCGATAATATTATGTGCCCACTTGACACTGTGTTGCACACAAGATATTAACATCTGCTGCACACCTGATAGTATCGGATGTTCACCACACAGTATCTTGCGCTCACCTGATAGCATCTTGTGCAAACCTTATAGTATCTGGTTTGCACCACATTTTTACCTAAAAAAAATACATCCTTTCAGGGGCTCTTTAAACTTCAACTAAGTTTTTGGTTTCATCATTAATTTTTATTAAAAATATTATCTAAATATTTGAAGTTTTTAGAAATACAGGCAAAAAATCTGATTAAAAATTAAAGTTATAAAAAGGAATTAATTCATGTATTGTAATAGCTATTAATACATCCATCCATAGACCAGATTCTATGAGAATGACAGGCATGTTTTCACTGCTGTCAAAACAAAACCTTGCATCTTGAATTTTTGTAATTTTTATTTTTTTTTAAACACACCTACTATTTACATTGTGGTCCAAAATCACTACAAACAAAATCTTGTTACATTAAATTCCACTGAAGTGAATTTTTTCCTTCTCCTGTAAAGATACTTTTTTGGAGAAACAACAGCGATGATATGTTGCAGGTATGAACTTGCAGCCCACTGCTATAGCCAGCCCTATATTTTGCAACAAGATCACAATGACGCACATACAGAAGACATCCCGAGTGAGGAAATGTACACCTCAGACTCGCCCACAAAACAGATGGTGTCTTTTCAGCCTTTATTGAGTTAGGGCCGTGTTAGGCCTGATTTCTGCTGGCCTGTCGGCGCCTTGATTTGGCTGTATAAATAGAAAGTCCCCTGGTGGTGTGAGTGGACAGGACAGCCCTGTATGTGCCCCGCTCATCCTCTGCCAAGGCGAGTTCCTGACAGCTTGAGTGATGGCGTGATCAGCACGATGAACTGGATTGTTTCACACCAGAGTGTTACACTGACACACTCACATCACATATCCTTTATGAGGCTGACAGAGGCAGATGAACTGGGTTACAGCACCCCTGACACAAATTCCCCCGTCTAACACTCTGAGGCTATTATCACGCAATACCATCCCAACCAGAGTATAGCAGATTTCCAGTTCTAGTTCTGAGTTGCTAGTCTGAAAGGGAAGGTCCATCTGTTTTTCAAAATTTCTGCATAATTCAGATATAAAGATGTAAACAAGAAGTTTAATGTGAAATGCACTCATTATTCACAGTGGTGGTGTTGGGAACCAGATGTCTGAAGAGTTTAACGCTTTTAAAAGCTGCCTCAAAGAAAGTTCCTACATTAAATGGTTACAATTATGCTGCTTGTTGTTTGAGTCGTTTTTTTATGTCAGCTTTGCTTTGACCTAAAACATATTTTTACATATTGTACCATTAATGGCAGAGAGACACCTGCAAGGAGTTGTAAAGAAAAATAGTCCCTAAAGAAAACTTATTTTCTCACATTTACCCCTATTTTACCCTGTCAATATTACATATAAAAACTCAGAAGACACGTGTAGCTTTTGTATAGTAAATAAAAAGGCTATATTTGTGACCCCTGCTTCCATTTACAACCACTATAAAGACATCTGAATCAGTCTATTTCTCTACAATTAACCATTTCACATCAAACCACTCTGAACGACTTTTTTCTGTAGAAACTGATGACTGACTTATATAGAAATTTTGGAAAATGGGTGGAATTCCCCTTTAATGTTAGTATCATTTACACAGTCTTCCTAAGAGATTGTAATACACTACATGAAGGATCTGGCTTCTATTGTTTCACTGTACATTAAAACAAAAAAATCTCTTATCAGAAGTAAAAAGAAACTGCTAAATTCATGTCTTAATATTTCTATTTCTAGAAATAATCATTAATTGTGAATTACAGATCACAATTACAGATCCTCACCTGTTTGTTCATGAAGATGTAGATGATGGGATTGATGACTGTGCTGGTTTTGGCCAGCAGAGAGGGCACGATGCTGGCCTCCGCTGTGATGAGGCCTGGGTCTCCAAATGTGGCCAGCAGGGCCATGATGCCGTAAGGAAGCCAGCAGAGCAGGTAGCAGACCACCATGGTGATGACCATAAACAGGACACGGTGCTCCCGCTTGCGGCCCATGGTCGTGTTCACCCCACTGACCTTTGAGACAAAAGCCGGAAAGAAATGGTGAAAAATGGAGAACCCTAATTGAACTAACCATGCTCCACGAGCACATCTGTTCAGTTGGGCAAACTTTGCAGAACATTTTGCAGAACTTTAGCACTCTTAAGAAATATCAGGTGTAGATTATTGAGTGTGCAATCAAGGTTTTTAGGGAAGTTCACTGGCTTTCCCTGTTTTAGCATAGTAGCTAGCTACACTCTTAAAAATAATGGATGTTCAAGGGTTCTTTTCTAAAGGAAATGGTTATATATAGAACCTTGAACACTCAAAGAACCCTTCATATGATTAACAGGCTCTTTGCATTGCTTAATGGTTCTTCAGATTGATGGAGAACGTGCTTTTGCAAGTGTTCAAGATTATATATAGAACCTTAAACACTCAAAGAACCCTTTATATGATTGACAGGTTCTTTGCATTGTTTAATGGTTCTTCAGGTTGATGGAGAATGTGCTGTAGATGCTTCGACATAGAACCTTTTGAAAAGGGCGTTAACTAATTACAAGGGCTGTCTGGGTACTTTCTGAGTAACTAGTGTGTATTGGCATTCTGCCAGTGTTCTGTAAAGCTTGTAGAACGTAGGAACAGTTGCTAGAGAACTCCAGAGAACGCAGTTCCACTGCTCCACGGCCCAGTGCTGGGGGGCTTTATTCACGAAGCCTGGCATTAGCCACGGTGACCTCACATGTGGCTGCTCCAGAGTGTCCTATTATATTGATCAGTGCTTTTGTATGGAGATTATACAAACTGTGAGTGCATAATTGAACTCCTGCTTCAGTAATTGGAGCACCTTAAAGTAGCTGCGTTAACTAATTACAAGGGCTGTCTGGGTTCTTTTGAGTAATTAGTGCGTATTAGCATTCGGCCAGTGTTCTGTAAAGCTTGTAGAACCTAGGAACAGTTGGTACAAAACAGCATGTTTATGTGTGGAGCATGGTTGGGTCAATCCATGTGTATTTAACACTGCAAGATAAAATGGTGATTAAAAACTTAATCTTAAAAATAAAGATTAAAAAACTTCAAAAACTATTTTAATTATCGACCAATAATCTGTGAAAATTGCTGTAAAAAAAGAAAGACAAGACTTGTGAATCATCACAGCAGCCATGCAGTATAATGAGAATACATGGTTAGTAAATTAGCTAATCAAACTCATTGTCTTCATACCACTTGAAATTAATCAGGGCACTCTTTAAAAAATAATCGGGGTACTCTAGTTAAAGTACTTTAAGGCATTAGATTTATCACCACTGGCATTTTCAGAATAATAATATTAACTAAAGCTTATTTGCATTTCAAGTTTGCACTTGCAGAAATGTACTTTGAGACTAAGAGTTTGTCTTGGGTCAAAATTTCACAAACATCAAGTATTAAAAAAAAACCAAAAAACTTTTGTTTTCTTTTCTGCAAGGTAAATGAACAGTATTTGCAGAGGCTGAGATGGTCAAAGATATGCATTTTTTGCACCTCATAAAACTAAAAAATGCTAATTAGTATGCATATGTTGAAAATTGCAGCTATACAACCTAAAAGGCACCATAACACATTTTTGGTCTTGTAAAATACCAATAATCAATAACTGCATGAAGGGAATAGCACAAAAACAATTAAATTAAATAGAAAATGGACAAAATGAAAAGAAATAATGTAATTACATAAAGAGTTAGCATGTGAACATTATTAAAGACCCTCTGCACTTAAAAATATGTTTTTAAAATAATTTCTCTTGGGTGACGTTTGATGATTATATAGACTGATATCTGCATCAAATGTGTTACTATGGTACAGAATTCACATTTTTCCATTAAAAACACAGGCGGTCTGTGGGGTTTATGTAGCAGCTTAGCTTTGTAACATATGAATGAGCCTGAAGCCATCACAGGCCAATATGCTAAAGCATGCTAATGAGAAGATGTGCCAGGCACTGACAAGAGGCTCAGCGCCCAGGTCCCCAGGCTCCGACGCCAGCCGTGGGAAAGCTAGCATCAGCTGGCTCTTGCTAAGGGCAGCACAAGCACCTGAGCTGAGAGGAAGAGAGAACTTGTTCCTCCTCCCAAAGGAGGTAAACGGTGTGAGGCAGCAGCTGTACCGCTAGACATTAGCACTAGAAGCTAAGATTAGCTTAGCGAGAAGGTCTAATCAGCTTTACATACAACTACAAGTTTATTTCGGTTCACTGAAGCCTCAGTGACACAAATTTAGAGAATAAAGATTCAAATCTGACCAGATAGACGTGTTTTTGTTTGTTGTCAGCTCAAGCTACTTTTAATGTACAGCCCTGTTAGCACCAGATGTTGACGTTAGCTTAGCAAGAAGGTTGAACCACCAGCAATTCTGGCTCACTGACTCTGCACTTTAGAGACTAAAGAAGTTTAGAGAGCAAAGAAAAATCTGAGCGAGTGAAATCGAGTGACTGGTGCCGGAGTGACAGAAAGACAGAACATTTTTGGTTTTTACAGTTACAGTCTGAGCTATTTTTTGTTTCTGCACTTCCTAGCATGCAGGATAGTGGGGTGGGGTGGGCAAGGTTTAGAAACAGGGCAGCAAGAGCCATTTGCAATTTGCATAATCATGCATATTCACATTCTTAATAAGTGTTGAGGTTTAGGGATGCTCCTATAATATTTTTAGTTGTTTAATGGGCATGTCAACAATATATAAACATGTTTTTTGTGTGTGTGTGTGTGTTTTAATCTATGACTTTAGGGGTACTTTAAACTTTCAAAACATGCTCTTCATTCCCCAGTTTATATATGAAAACTGAGTTGCAAAAAAGAACTTGAATTTGTTGTTTCTGTGAAAACCACATTTACATATATCCCCCTTTTCAACAGCCGGCAGCAGTTTAGCTCTGTCCATTCGTGTTGAATTTAGAAGAAATGTTCCAGCCTGGACTTTTACGGGACACGATACAAGGAACTCACTCAGAATGGAGGTCATTTACATATATCAATCTTAAAGGCACAGTAAAAAACAGCCAGTTTAGTTCTAAGGAATAAAGAAAGGCTGGAAAATGTCATGTAAAAATCAGCTATAGGTTTTGGTACACAAACCCACAAAAATATCAGAAGAGGATTCTACAGTGGAAAATAAAATACAAGAAAAATGTGGAATATGGGCCCTTTAATGTCACAGTGTCCACAGAGCCTTCAGCTGTGTGGTTTTCTTGCTGTCAGGTACCATAAACAAGAGCTGTTTAACTGCGGTATCTCCCAGTGGTCAGCCTTCATGCCTGTCAGTCACTGCACTGATGCAGCCGCTCTGACAGTCTGTGGTTGGATAGAGATACATGGCTGCCATTATTTGAGAGAGCGAGTGGCTAAATGTGAATAATAAAACAAGGATATGAAAAAAATATTCTATTTTATAAAATGGATAGTTCCAGTCCTAAAATCTGATTGGCTGAGTCGCGTTTGAAGCCGTCGTAAAATCCATTAAATACCACGGCTATGACCGCCCCACGGCACAAAAACCCTTCTGCTGTTAATGAATTAATCTTTGATTCTAATGCTGCTCTCACGGAGCACTGAGTGTACTGATGAAGTAAGAACCTGTTTTGTTTAAACTGAGGGGCTGAAAAGGTATTTTCTTATCTAGAACTAGGCTGGTCAGCTAGCCAACAGGCTAAAAGAGAGCAAACATGCTAAACAACTCCAACATTAATATCACAGGCTTGAATTTAAGTACTCGATACGATTCACTGAAAGACATCAGTATAAAAGTCTAAAGAATGTCACCTGAATGGATCACATGCTTTAAATGTCTGTGTTTCAGTCAGAAGTCACATCAAATCCAGGCTGAATCCCAAACGGCTCCATACTCCCTAGCTAAATAGTGTGCTGTGCAACAATACGTTTAGAAATTCTAGCTTCTGCTGTCAAATAGTGCACCGCATGTCGAGTATGAATATGGATGAATCCCAAATGGCCATTTTTAGTGATATTTTGCATTGTTGGGGTGCAGGAATATTTAAATTCCTATGAAAAGTCAGTCTGTCAGAAGACTCTGGTAATTTGGTGACCAAAAAGTACTTATAAACTGAAAGTATTTGCATTAAACAGTGCTGTGTTTCATTTGTTCACTGTTACACAAAAAAAAGTTCATGAAATGTTTGCAGTAGGCGACCGAACGTTGTTCTCCTCATTCAGCAGTCAATTGTTGCTTAGCAATGATACCGTACTCTAAAGAAACTACATTTGTTGGCGGGATACTTATGTCGGTTATTATTAATAATAACTTAAATAATTATCGAAAATATTGTGCATTTTAATATATTTTATTTAATATATTTTATTCTGCTTTGCATCGTGCCAAAGAACACCCTTCCCCGGGATAAAATCACAGTAACCCACGGCCTCTTGTGGCTTATTGCTTTAATAAACTATTAACGAAAACAGAACTCCCTTGTTTTAGTAATGATTTCAGTTTTTCTCTCATTTTGCACTCCTGAGTGGTTCTTGGCTTGGATGTACAGACCTGGGGAAATGTTTAAAGGGCCCATTTCAGCAAAAAAAGAATTTTTGTTTTTTTTTTGCTTTTTTTTTTAAATAAAAAATAAAACAGTTTGGTATAGAATGTAATTTCAGTCATTTCAAAATATACCATTTACTGCACAGTCCATGTGGTCCAGATTTAGTTTTCACTACTTTTGTGATGTCACAAAAAAAACAAACAAAAAAAAATGTACATAGACCCACCTATTCAGCTTACATCAGGTTAGCCTCACCCATTCCTGTTAAAGTTATAAGGAGTGTTTCAGCCAAGACTGCTTCTTAAATGTGGCACAATACAGGGCAGCCAGTCAGAACAGAGGTCATTTACATATTTCTTATATGTCTTAAAGGCACAGTAACAAAAACAGCCTGTTTAACTGGGATAAAAAGGCCTTGAAAAAGTAATGTAAATTTTTTTTGGTACATAAACCCATGTCGCCTTCCGCCCAATGACAGCTGGGATAGGCTCCAGCACCCCACCGAACC